GGCTTGTCTACATAGTCTGAAAGGAGTGGGCTGGATTGGGCTAAACAGAGTCACTACAAGGTCTGTTATGTCATTTGGTGTGATCCTCGCATCGAAATAGCATAGGGAGCTTAAGCAACCCTATTTGACCTTCCGCCTTTGCCAAGATTGGGAAATGGCTTAGCCACTACGGGATGATGGCAAATCAATCACTTTCTTGGCTCTGTGGAGGAGTTGAGGAAGTGGGAAAAAAGTAAGTCTGAATTACGGCAATAAATACGTGCTGCATCACTAAAAAAAAAAAAGATAAATTGCTTGTTTTTCTCTTAAAAGTCCAGTCAAGAGCCTGCCTACAGCTGAAATGGGAATTGACTAATTGCCAATAAGCCACTTCAAGATACTGGAAATTAGAGGAAGGCTCATTTTTGCTCTGTTCCCAGCCATCACATGGACGAGAAGCAGACCACACCAGAGTAATCCTATCCGCCCCTAAAGAAGTAGAAGCTCCTGACAGAGGTCTGAAAGGTGTGGGTAGGAGTGCTCTGAGGACAATTATGTCAACTTGTGAGGTAAAAATGCAAGTTTACCTTCTTCATCCTATTTTTTGTTTTATAGAACAATGACTGTAGAATAATGTGCTTCCTTGTAATATTTCAAATGACTAGTTGGTCCAGTAAGAGTCATTTAATTCTGTCCACGTTTCTGACCATCCGTTTTGCTCACAGAGCTAGTAATATCCTTATCCAATTAAAAACTATCAACGAAACATGGCTAGACACACATTTTCCTCCAGCCAAACAATGCAGCTTATAGTTAAGATTCCCAGATGAAAAGCACATTAAACATTATCTCAGTTTATAATCCAATTGCACAATTTGGCCAGTATCCTACTGAACTCCTGCTAAGTTGAAAGTCTTGCCAGTGCAGTGCAGTGCACAGAATCATGCTGCTTATGCAAGCACTGGTGTTGTGCGAGCAACAATCTCCAGGGGGAAAAAACCTGCCCTCTGCTTGGCAACGGCAATTCTGGGTTAGACAACAGGATCCCACATCATGATGCTAATAGGATTCCACCCAGCCAGAAACTCAGGTGGATAGCAGTTAAACTAGGGGAAAAAGCTGGGAATAAATTCTTTCTGGTACATAACACTGTATTCTTTCTGCCAATGAAAATATTCTGTTACATAGTAAAATTCTCTTCAAACAACTGCTGCACTAGGACAATATCCACTGAAACAAATAGGAACTTCACAAAATCATGACTCTGCTCTTGTGAATCTACCATGCATTTTAGCAGAAGACCTCCTGTAGAAGGGTTTTACTGTGCACAACCCCTGCACATGCCCAAGTGGTGAATCAGAACTTGCAAACATTATAAGGTCCTTTCAGTAATACTGTATGCCAATATAATACCATTATGCTTCTTCGTGCCTCAAAGCTTGCTAGACAAAAAAAAAACCTTGTTAAGATATACAGATACAGGATGCCAATTATTAAGGCAATCAATATTTATACAGTAGGTAAAATTCACCTCAGGCAGGTTTGGGAACTCTCTATCAAATAATCTCTGAACTCTGGAAGTATGAAAACATATGCAAGACATTGGTGAAAGTCACCTTCATAGTTTGATAATACAAAAAGGATTGTTAAGTTTTCTCTCTAGGGGTGGGGAAAACAGAGGAAAGGATAATCAAATTTTAATTTCATTTTTCAGTTCAGCAGATAAAGATGTACTGAACAAATAACAAAATGAGTGCACAGATTTTGTCATGGCTGCTGTAAGCCAACTAACACAGAAATAATTGTAATGGGCATGATCCAGTGAATAAGAACTACTTTGAATTCCTGCTGATTTTGATCAGACAGAATTAAACACCTACATAACTTTCACATTGAGACCTTTTGGTGATTTAAAAGACCTGTTGTTACTGGTTTAAAGGTTGTTTACTCACTGAATCACATTGGTCTTATAAAACGTTCAAAGTTCTTTTTAAACTTCTACTAGTCTTTTTTTTTAAATTCCACAGTATAATATTAAATATAACATTAAATAGAAAAATAAAGAGAGAGGAGGGATGTTTTTTAAAAAAATAAAATAATTTTTTTAAAAAAAATCATAAACTTTATTACAAATTACAAAACGTGAGTCAGTTTCTGAGTTTCTTTGTGTCCCAATATGTTTTCTGTAGTATGGTTGTATAAAATTGTCTAAATTTTTTTTATATTGTCTTTGCTGGCTTGTTGCTACAAGAACAAGACTGGAAAACACTTCAGAAGGTTTCAACTTCAGCACTCTCAGGTGTTATATAAGCTGAAACAACAACAACAATAACAACATGAATACCGAAGCTGTGAGAAACAGCAACTTTAGAGAAGTTAACCCAGAAAAGCAAAACAATAGATTTGTACAGAGATGACTTCCATGAGACTTGGTACTCTTTTAAGGTTTCATGACTTCCTTAGAACAGACATTTGAATTACAAAGTGATCAGCTATTCTTTTTCTACCACAATCTACTACTAGGGATGAGAATAGAGCAATGGTTCCCAACTTTAGGTAACTCATAAGATGTGCTGGCCAAAGGGCATTATGATCAGGCACAAGACTCTTCTATTGGCTGGTCTGAGACCTGCTGATAGAACAATCTGTTGCTAGAACTGCTGGCCGAGATCTACCAGCAGATCAGCCAAAAAGGGAGAGCAGGGTCAGGAAGGAGCCAGGTTACACTAGATCTAAGCCTCTCCTAACACAGAGACAATGACAAAAATGCTGGCATACAGTTAGGCTAGGGCAAAGGTAGTCCTAAATCCTAACACCCATAGGCTAGGTAGGTTGTGCATTCTGCACAACCTCAGCTAGCATAGAGTTGGCTTAGTTGATTCCTGGCCCTTTCAGCCAGCCAAGATTGAAGTCTAAGTGTGCAGAACAAAAGTGGAATCTAGTAAAATACTTCTTCAGACTTCCAATTTGCACCATAGGCTCTGGTGAGAGAGATTAAAATACATAGTACATTACAAGAAACAGTGTGGTTCACATTAAAATAGCTGCCCTCCAGCTTATTGCTGGGTTGTTGCTACAAGCACTGGAGAAAAAGGTTACCACTTATATAAACATTTTTTCTTAAATGGACAGGATCAGAGTGAACACAATGAAACATAAGAGCAGCTGACTCAGCAAAATCCCATTGATTCAATGAGCCTAGTCTAGTTGCAGCTTACTACACAAAACAACAGGATTTCAGCCACAATGTCCATTTTTAATGCTAAGAAAGTTGCTTTTTAGATTATCAGTCCATCCCTAATGGAGAAGTGGTACGATGATTCATCACCCTTCCACAGTATGGTCACCAAAGGCTTCATTAAGTCATTATATTTATTCTTTTTCAAAATAACTTTCTATACTCTGCCTCATTTTCCTGCTAGGGATGCTGGATACAGTCGTTCCAATTTCACTTGCTGACAGGAAAAAAACAACTTGCTGCCCATGTTCCAAGCACGCTCACCACTACTGTCATCTCTGACTTTCTCTTTCCTTATAGCAAGTTAAATCTCTTAATAAAAGCATATTCTTCAGTATGCCTCTAGAGGCAACCAAACAATCGACTGGAGGCCCACATTATTCTTTGAAAGACAAATGAAATCACATTGTCACACGATATATTACATTTGTTCAAAATGCCCATGACTTTACAGCACACAAACCCATAATACCAAAGGGATACAGGGTCAGAAAAAGGCCTCAGGCAAGATATACTCCAGTATTGCATTTATGACACTGTGTATTAAAGTTTTTCTCTTGAATACAAGAGAGCAGCAATGTGACTTGTAAAAATTTGTTTTCATAGGAGAAATGTCAAGCTTATTTTTAGATCCCTCTCCCCTTGATTAGAATAAAATGAAGAATGAACAGCTTTCCAACACATCTAGAGTATACAAAATGTTTATAAAAAAGGAATTGGTTGATATCAAAATATTAATTTTCTCAGTACTTTATTTGTTTATTTGTTTATTTGTTTGTTTGTTTATTTATTATACCCCGCCCATCTAGTCATAGACTACTCTGGGTGGCTAACAGCAAGTAAATAAAACAATTTAAAAGTAACAGTGATTTACAACAATAATAAACAATCATTCAAGATGGAAAAGAAAGAAAAAATAAATCAAGTAGTGCCTGGAGGGAAGGCCTGCCTACTTAATAATATAGTTTCTGTTTTCAACTATCAACTTCCAAATACCATATACTTTAACATCTTGTGTATGGCAGGTTTCTATGACTTTCTGCATATTTTGAATTCATTCCTGGTCCACTAACTGGCAATATACTTCCATTTCACACAAGGTGCCTTTAGGATCTCGAACAACGATGACTGAGTTGAAGCAACAGAAACCCTAGGGGCATCATTAAGTTGCCAGTTCTTCACCTCTCAAGAAAGTATTTTAAAATCTACATAATCACTGAAGCTCCTTGTCCATTTGGACTATGTAGTTAAGGTGCTAGATTTTCTTCTTTTAAATCTTACCATATCCAGACTCAGCTTTCTGTGTGGACTGATCTCTACAGAAACATCAAGAATGTGGAAGAAAGTGGAGTGGATCTCTCTCTCTCTCTCTCTCTCTCTCTGTGTGTGTGTGTGTGTGTACTTGTGTCCTCAGCAACAGACCATTTGCATTCATAGTCTCTGCCCTAGAAATGTGCTGGATGTGGAACATAGATTTAAGCATTTGCTATAATGAATTAATACTCATCTCAGACCATTACAAAGTATGATGCTGCTCAGCTGTTGGACACCTGAACTTGAAAGCCAGCAACTGGTTTTTGCTTTCATTTGTTATCCCCCTTTAACAACAACCAGTGTGAAGATGCATTACAATTGTAATGAAGCCATTTGTATTTTGCTTTATCACAGGCCAAAAAATTATCATCTGGCTTCTCATAAATTTAAGATACAGTAATGGAGATGATGGTATTTTCTAATGGGATGTCCTAATGAGGTTCTAGAAAACTGGTAAAAATGCACTTACCTTCATATGTTCCACTTTCTAAAAGAGCACCACTTTTCTCTAGTTCCATAAAATCTTCAACAGTGATGAAAATATAATCCACACCAGGGACTTCTCCCTCCTTATGAGGCCTTGTAGTGCCTAATTTTAAAAAGAAAAGATGCATACTACTGTCATGCACAATAATGCGGAATTTAGTATCCAACAGACAAATAAAAAAGTCATGCAATGCAGCCAGAAGTCTTTCATTGATGCAACTTTCTATTCAGTGAGATTAGGAAATTTGTTTATAACTATAGCATAGTATTTAAATGCTGAAATATACATCAGTTAGTACATATAAAGTGAGACTTCACTGAACTGCTATTGTTTGATGGCAAAACAACTGCTTTGCATGCAGAAGGCTCTGGGTTCAATTCCTGGCATTCCCAGTTAGAATACTGAAAGATCAGTACTTGAAGCTTGAAGAACCACTATCAACCAACATAGCAGACAATACAGAGCTGGAACAGTAGCGGTCTGACTTAATATAAATCTGTTTCTGTTGCTGTAGCAGCACAAGTAAAAAAAAAATCATAACCACCATTGTTGCAATCTTTAGCTTAAAAAAAGCAGAGGTTTATACAATCAGACCTAGCCCAAGATGGAAAGTGAGTTTTGGTTGCCCAAGGCAAGAGACAAGATGGTACCTGTACACCAAATTCCATTAACAAATCCAATTAAATCTTTTTTGCATCGCTGGCAGTGTGACACTACCTTCTGCAGCACTCAGCCCAGGCAGCAAAGAGCAAGCTAGATGGCACACAGAGCTCTGCCTTCCAACAGGAGGCATAGCTAGAAGATTGAAGAGAAACAACCAGTGGAGTATGCTTATTTGCTTCTACTGCTTCTCCCAACACCATTAGCAATGGTCACTAAGAATGGCCACCTCACTCTGTCTAAGAGTAAGACTGGCTCTGCATACAAGAGAGCCCCAGCCCTACTGCCTCTGAGGATAGGCTAATTAGTCGAAGCCATACCTATTCCAGTTTAGCGTTAATTTTACATCAGCACATTGTTCTTTCTTGAACAAATGAGATTTAAAGCTGTTGATGGAGCTGATCATGATTACTGCTGACCTGCTCTCCATATCCAAGGCATACGACTGGAATTCCACTCATGTCTCCTGGTGAACATGCACACATGTATGTGCAGTTGAGGAAGCAGCTAGATCAGCCACTTACTTAGAGCATAGCTGCCCCTTGTGCTAAACCAGGTAGCAGCATCTTAGGAGAACTATAGTTAGTTGAGGCAGGGAAGGAAGCCATGGGGTCCAGGTTCCTACTTTCCTGAACTCCTGCTCACGTACAGCTCTTAGCAGAGGTATGCAAATCCAGAACCTCCTGACATGCTCTACCAGCAAAAACTTTGTTCATTTTTCTTTTTTAATATATTCATTTTCATAGGGATAGGGGTTATGGTACAAATAGGGGGCCATGGGAAGGGTAAGAAAGGGTAAAATTCCAGAGAGCAAAAAGTATTCTTAAATCCGCTAACACAATTGTATTAAAGATGAAAATCATACAAAGAGAAAAACACTATAAAAATTTTCCATAATATTTATCATTACTAATCTTCCATTTTCTTGGACTTCCTCTTTCTTTTTATCTTTAAGTTTACTAATTTTATAAGTTTAATATTATTCTGCCATCTTATATCTAGAGTTCTAAATTGCTCTAAATCACTGTTATGACCATTAATTTGTGTTTATTTATATATTTATATTTATATATTCTTTCACCACAAAATACCTTCTTACAAATATATCGTTGTTGAAGCTGGCCTGTATTCTGGGCCAGCTGTTCCATTTAGTAGAGTGAAGCAGGCTGCAGATGACAGTGAATGTCACAAAGCAGTAGCAAGGTATCAAAGACATAAGCGTTGCCATACCACCAGGGTCAAAATATGATTCAACAGCCACTTTGGCTGGTGCATGTATATGAAATATACAGAGAAAGGATGGGACATATCCTTTGCCTCAAGCAGCAAAATTTTATGGGTCAGCTCCTAGCGGTGCTGCCCATGGTTTGGGATCACATGAATGAGCCTCAGGCTTATGAATTTCCCCACACATCTCCTTCCTTCTACATTCTTTTGAATGTCCTCCCATACAATTTTTCAGCCAACCATCCTTTCCCAGTTGAGAGCTGAACTTACTCCAACTTTACTGTTGCCTTCAGGAAGGACTGGATTGAAAGACCAAAATAAAGTGTGTGTACTAGTAAAAGCTTCAAGTCCTGTAAGGAGCAGGGAGCTGAGAATGTTTAGCCTGGGTTGAGAAGTAGTATCATCGTCATTGTTTAGTCGTGTCCGACTCTTCGTGACCCCATGGACCCGAGCACGCCAGGCCGTCCTATCTTCCACTGCCTCCCGGAGTTGTGTCAAATTCATGTTGGTCGCTTTGATGACAATGTCCAACCATCTCATCCTCTGTTGTCCCCTTCTCCTTTGCCTTCACACTTTCCCAACATCAGGGTCTTTTCCAAGGAGTCTTCTCTTCTCATCAGATGGCCAAAGTACTGGAGCCTCAGCTTCAGGATCTGTCCTTCCAGTGAGCACTCAGTATCATAGTTCCCTTCAAATATCTGAAGGGTCGTTAAGTGGAAGAAGGGTCGTTAAGTGGAAGGTAGAGCATCTTGGTCTCCTGCAGACCTGAACAGAAGGATTCAAATTATAATAAAAGAAATTCTTACTGAACATCATGAAGAACTTTCTGATGGTGAGAGCTGTTTGATAGTGGAACAGACTCTCTTGGAAGGCAATGAGTTTTTCACTGGGTATTTTAAAACAGAGGTTGGAGAGCTATCTGTGAAAGATGCTTTGCATTGGCAGGTTGGTCTAGATCACTGGTTCTTAACCTTGGGTTACTCAGGAGTTTTGGACTGCAACTCCCAGAAGCCTTCACCACCTGCTGTGCTGACTGACAGTAGTTTATAGTTATATTGTCCTGCAGGAGCGAGTTTTATTGCCACAATAGAAGTTTTTTTATTCCTCCCCCTTCCTCCTCCTTTCTTTCTGTTTCTCGCAGCCAAGCCTCAGATGAAAGGGAGGGGGGTAGTGTTCGCTGGTCCGGCCAGATATAGGTCTAGTCACTTTGTCTGACAGATTACACCCAGTCTCTTCTTTGTTTAGGTCCTTAACAGTTCCATATGTAAAACAAGCCACTTCAAGTTTGGTCAATTTTTTTATTCCTCCCCCTTCCTCCTCCTTTCTTTCTGTTTCTCGCAGCCAAGCCTCAGATGAAAGGGAGGGGGGTAGTGTTCGCTGGTCCGGCCAGATATAGGTCTAGTCACTTTGTCTGACAGATTACACCCAGTCTCTTCTTTGTTTAGGTCCTTAACAGTTCCATATGTAAAACAAGCCACTTCAAGTTTGGTCAAGATTATTTTTCCAAAATCCTTCTGTACTTTCCGCTCTCTGTCTTGGGGCATTTACAGCTCTGTGCCAAAGACGGTGCCACTTGATTTCTGCTTTCAAAAGTATGAAGGGGTCGAAACCGAGTGGTCTCAGTCAGTTTCAGGAGCCTCCTAAGACCTGATCAATCTCACTGCGATGAGGCCCCGCTTCCCTCAAATTTTGTTCATTTCTGAAGACACTGTGCCAGCAGATTTATTCAAGATCAGGCTGGTATTATATGAAGGAAGCAAACACTTTGCTATTTTTATTCTTAACTGAGCAGTGAGACAATCTTCTTTAGGTAGCCTTTTCGGCTACCATCTAGTAGTTCTATGGCATGATAAAAGGAGGGCCGCCATGCCACCCATGGGGGGGGAATATGATTATACAATGAATGAGTCAATTTTGACCAATAATGCAACACCGTGCCTTTGTTATTCTGCCCATAACAGCACTACATAATTTTGAATGGTCCCATGTTTGGATGCTAAAAGCAACCACTGTTATAAATTAAAGAGATCTCCCTTTAAAAGATGCTATTTGCATTTTTGCTAAAGTACTTCATAACAATAATGTTGCCACAGCTACTCAGAACAATTAAAGGGCACCGCGGTTTCTGTTAGGCTTTTTCACAATAAAATCTATGTGAACAGCATTACTCAAATGATTTTACTTGTTGTTGTTTAGTTGTTAAATCGTGTCTGACTCTTTGGGACCCCATGGATCAGAGCACGCCAGGCCCTCTTGTCTTCCACTGCCTCCCGGAGTTTGGTCCAATTCATGTTGGTAGCTTCAATGACATTGTCCAACCATCTCGCCCTCTGTCATCCCCTTCTCCTCCTGCCTTCACACTTTCCCAACATCAGGGTCTTTTCCAGGGAGTCTTCTCTTCTCATGAGATGGCCATAGTATTGGAGCCTCAGCTTCAGGATCTGTCCTTCCAGCGAGCACTCAGGGTTGATTTCCTTCAAAATGGATGGGTTTGTTCTCTTTGCAGTCCAGGGAACTCTCAAGAGCCTCCTCCAGCACCACAATTCAAAAGCATCAATTCTTTGGCAGCCAGCCTTCTTTATGGTCCAGCTCTCACTTCCATACATCGTTACTGGAAAAAAAACATAGCTTTGACTATGCAGACCTTCGTTGGCAAGGTGATGTCTGCTTTTTAAGATGCTGTCTAGGTTTCTCACCGCTTTCCTCCCAAGAGGCAGGTGTCTTTTAATTTTATGGCTCTTTTCACCATCTCCAGTGATCGTAGAGCCCAAGAAAGTAAAATCTGTCACTGCCTCCATATCTGCCCCTTCTATTTGCCAGGAGGTGATGGGGCCAGTGGCCATGATCTTAGTTGTTTTGGTGTTGAGCTTCAGACCATTTTTGGTGCTTTCCTCTTTCACCCTCATTAAGAGGTTCTTTAATTCCTCCTCATTTTCTGCCATCAGAGTGGTATCATTTGCATATCTGAGGTTGTTGATATTTCTTCTGGAAATCTTAATTCTGGTTTGGGATTAATCCAGTCCTGCCTTTCGCATGATGTATCCTGCATATAAGTTAAATAAGCAGGGAGACAATATACAGCCTTGTCGTTTGTTATACCCTCCCAATTTCTCTCAGAAAGAGAAAATATCCAGGATTAATGCAATAGGGGTTATTTTCTCTTGGATGAGTGAACCCTGGAGATGTATGGCATCTTTGCAATTTTTATTTTCTTC